ATGGCTAATTTTAAAGGATCTATATTCACTCATATGTTTTTTATGAGTGTTTAATGTTTAGTAATGATAACCATAATCCAATTAAACAAGCAGTTAATATATTTACAGAGTGTGTTAAAGATTTTCTTGGTTTATGGGGTTAGTTTACTTTTATCCACATATTTTGCATTGAATGGATTAATCGAGTGGTTCCCAAAACATTTTTCTAGCTGCCACCCACATCTGTAGTGCCTCTCTCCCAAACACATATAAAGACACTTCCTTCTTAGTATTAGGTTTACTACAAACTCAAAACAAACACTAGTCTAACACTTTAAATACACATATGCTTTTTGGCTTTTCTTAGATGCCATTAGATAAGATGTTGCCAGATGAACATCCATAGCTATATCACTACACCTATAAACCTAGAGCAATGGCTACTGCAGATGCCGGTTGTCTGATCTGTCCAGAGAATATTTTGGCTTTTCTTAGATGCCATTATCTAAGATACTGCCTGACAAACATCTGTGGCTGTATCACTACATCTACAAACCTGGAGCAATGACCACTGCTGATGTTGGCTCTCTGTCTGATCTGACTGAATTATGGCATGTCTTGGCCTGATTACATCACCAAGATACAAACAAATGTTTGGACTTTTAACTTCGGGCAACAAAATAAAATAAAACCATACGTTCGTGTATGACTTTTATGTTAATTTTATTCTATGCAAAGCAGACATGTTCCTTAAGTGCAAGAGACTTAGATTTTGTGATATAGGTTTTGTAAAATAAAACATTACTTTTTCCTAATGTTACCTCCTAACACCCACCTTTTTTTAAACCACACCCCTTTACTCTCCTGGAGTTGTCCATTCCCAGGGGGAGGTACTGCCCATTTTGGGAATCACATAATTAATCAGTTTCAATCTCTTTTTTTTTTTGTACGGCTGCTGCTGTATACTAGCATGTAATTTGGAAAATTTGAAACATTCTGAATCATTCATTTTTTTTTTCTTAAATAATTTGTAAATATTATTATTCAACATAAGAAGAATTATTCTGCTATAACTTAATTTCTCTTTTTGGACCCTATTTAACTAATCTCTTTAACATTATTCTTTCTTTTCGCATTGTCTTAGAATCATCAAACAGAATGTGTGCTGGTTCTAGATACAGATTATGACTAAATGGATAAACATGTTCCCATTTAACACATAATCCTAGATGGGTAGACAAGATCCCATCTAACATATAATCTCATATGGGTAAACATGTTCACAACATATAATACCATGTGGGTAAACATGTTCCCATCTAATACACAATCCCATATGGATTAACATGCTTCCATCTAACACATAATTCCATATGGATAAACATGTTCCCAGTACATAATCCCATATGGATAAACATGTTTTCATCTAACACATAATCCCATATGGATAAACATATCTCTAACACATAATCCCATATGGATAAACATGTTCCCATCCAATACATAATCCCATATGGATAAAATTCCAATAGGCAAAGATTAAAGTGTTTACCTGAATAAAATTATAAATGTAGATGATACTTTTATTCAGAAATGTTAAATTAAATTTTTTTCAAAATAATTGCCTATAATTTTTAAACTTACTTATTTTTCATTGTTCCTATAGAAAACAACTAGCATATTTACAAAAATCGTAAAATAAAAATAATCTTACCTTAATTAGTAATAACCCAAGTGGTGTGAAAATGAAATATTTTACCATATTACATACAGTGTGAAGAAAAGCAATCTTTTTTTTTTTTTGGTGAATGAAGAATTTTCTATTAAATCTTCATATCTTTTGCCATGTTTTTTTTTTCCTTTCCAATTGATTTCACTTGATGGTTGGACGTCCATTACTCATTGTGTTTCAACCATCAAAATAAATTCATTCATAACTCTCCAGGCAAAAAAAAAAAATTGGTATGATTTACATTTTATGAAAAATATCTTTTAGAGATAAAAAATGGTATAATTTAACTTTTGACAAATATAACTCATTATTATAGCATATGGCGACTCTTGGGGAAAATTAAACAATCATTTTAACCATATTGATTTTAAACAAGTAATTACTTGTTATATTTTTGCTGCCTTTTTCTCCAAATATGGTTTTATTTCAATATGTTGCCATTTTTTTTATTTCTTAAGTCCAATCACTACATTAAAAATTATTCCACTGATTTACTTTTTAGAGAAAATAAATGTGTAAATAATTTTTAAAAATTTTACTGTAAATAGTATTTCTTGATAAACAAGATTAAATAGCTTAAAGTTATATTAGCTAATGATTTTAGAAAATAAACTTGGGAAAGACATAAAAGATTAGTTATAATAATTTTTCTCTGTTTTAATATATAACTTATTTTTGAAACTTGTATTAATATTTTGGGACTTTATCTATCATGAAGAAATCATTATCAGGTAATCATTTTCTTTAATAATTAATTTTATTCAAGCTAACTCATCCCGTATTTACTGTGACTTTACATTTCATGATAGAATCAAAATCATTTTTGTTCTTTATTTTTACTCCCTCTAATATATACCAATTTTAATCCCGAATTTTTGTTCTTTATTTTTACTCCCTCTAATATATACCAATTTTAATCCCGAATATCTACTCAGGGTGTGAAGAACTGTAATTTTAATTGGTAGAAATATTTAAATTCTAGAGTATTTCTTATTTGATGATGTGAAGCAAATAATAAAAGCCCTGAGATTTAGTAAGATATTTTTCTTTTCTTTTTATTTGTTAGTTTAACTTTTTTTCTGTGTTATTTCAAAATGCAAAGTAAAAACAAATTTTATTAAAGAAAAAATCTCTTTTTTTATATTAATATTTAAGAAAGTTTAATAAAACATTTTTTTCCTTTCAGTAGATTTTAGTTCATGTATTTGATTAAATCAATCTGATTAAAAGCCTAATCAATAAAGGAATTTTAGGAACATTTTATGTGTTAACTTCAATTATTAGAATGAAGGTAATACTAATACATGATTAATTAAAAAATGCTTTTTTTTAGGAAAAAAAATGATTTGTCAACATAATATTATTTCTTTTTTCTTTCTTTTCATTTTTTTTTTTTTTTTGGGAAACAGGGTTAAAAAGAACTTTCTTCGTAGTTTTATATTTCACCCAAACTGAAATTAGATCTCTAAGATACTTAAAATTTTGGTCAGTGGTATGAACATTACCAATGCAATATTTGGAAGATCATGTTTTCAGATCACTGATAGCTACTGGCTTCTTTTTTGTGAAGGCCTATAGCCTTATTTTACTATTTTTAAGCAACAATGTGATAACCAATAGTAAATGGTTATTATAAACCCTTGTATGTTTGAGACGTTATCAAACGATAATTTTATTTTAGTTTTCTTATGAAAATTACTATCATAGAGGACAAAATAAAAAAATGTCTTAAAAAAAAATCAAAACTATATCAAATAAAACAGTGTAAATATTAAAGGTGTGAATGTTGATGAAAAAAGGTGGGGAAATAATTCTGGAGACAGCTGTTAACAGAATAAAAAGCTTAATTTGTAAGTTTTCATGACTAAAAAAATACATGAAGATTGGTTGAGTATGTTTGATTAGTGTCTTATTGATCAGAAATACTCTAACTATTTATCTAATCACTGAATGACTATTTTTCTTGATTTGGTTTCTTTTATAGAATAACTGTATCTTTTGTATATATATATATATATATATATATATATATATATATATGCATGTATCATAATTAAAACTATTTTTTTTGTTTTTTTTTTTGTTTTCTTATTCTTCAGTTAAAAGGGAAAAGGCATAAACACTCATCCATGTTGCATTTTATGTAATGGACGGACATTTTTCAAGTCCACAATCAACATTTACAAGCAGCATGGATGTAGTGCTTTTTCATAAAAGAAAAAACTTAACAAAACTGAAAGAAAAAAAGACAGCTAATTGACTGAATGACTGAAAGCACTTTGAATCTTATACCAAACTCAGCATTAATGTTTGGCCCAGACATTGTCTTCAGCAAATTGTTGGCATTTTCAGTCATCCAGCAATGGTCAGTGTCAATATTTTTCTGTATTTAAATCTGTTCACTGACCACAATTGCAACATGTCCATGCTTCACTGTTCTCTATAATTCCATTTATTCGCAGTAAAAATTCAGCTCTTATTTGTATTTCCATTTTTTTTTTGTTCCTTTATAACCAATTCTAGGCCAAAACCAACACTGATTTTATTCCCTGCTTGTGACTTAGGATTTTTTTTTCTTATTAAATTGTCTCTCACATAGTTAAAAACAGGCACTGGTCTTTACCAATAACAGTAATGCTGTAAGTAAGAAGGCTGTTAAAGCCTGTTGTCGGTTTAAAATTCTTTGTTATACATGTATTTATAATTTGTCTGAATATATGTAGATATGTTGACAAAACTATGTCTGCTTTTTTAATGATTATCTCTGTATTAAAAAAGCAGCTTGTGATTTGTAACAAGTACAGAATATATTTGTGATCATAGATAAATAAAATTGCAATATTTGCTTTCTGGTTTTTGCAGCTACAGATTTGTTAAGTACTATATCATCCAACATGGATGATCGGACCATTGACTTGCCTGAGTCATATTTATTTTTTAATCAAAGTATTTAATAAGAGAGTCAATAATACATTTCCATAACCTTTTCTGACCTCTGATATTTTGATCGCCATTAACCATAATAAGGAATGTTGCAATATCCTTTTTCAGTTAATCAGTTTCTTGCTCTATTTCTTCGTCTTTTTTTCTGAATTTCTGGAACGCAATCTGTATTTTTTTAATTTTGATCTTCTGACTGAATTCCTGCAGGCTAGCATCAACAATAATGGAATTGGGTTTGCGACAGTGAGAGCCCAGGCTTTTTTTTTTTTGTCTTTTTAGTTTCTGGCATTTTTTTTCTTCCAGTTCATTTTTCCGTTTGTTGTTGTTTTTTCTTGCTTTTGTTTAATCATATCTGCGTATGACCACTATTTTTTTGAGGTGACAACAATTTTTTGCGCCGAGGTGGGGAATATTTGCGACAACTCATGTAATCTGGATGCGAGAACTGAACGTGAGTTTCTGACTGCGGATTTGCTAATTTTGATACAATCAGGGATGGTAACACCTCAATTTGGTCCTGCAAAGAGATTAAAAAAAAAACAATGTGTTTTTAGTTAACTGAAAGAATAATACATAAGAATAATTTTAAACAATCATAATGACATTATTTACATCATTTATTGTAGTGATATCTAGATGACTGCCTAATTAAGATCTGAGGATACCATGGACCGAACATGTGACTAATGACAAATATTTGGAGAAAATTGAAACAAAAAGAAAACTAATACTTAACATCAGGAAGAGAGAGTTGGGGTTTCAAGTACATATAATGAGAAAGAAGGGCTTGGAGAATATGATACTTATGGGACAGGTAGAGGCCAACAGGGACAGAAGAAGACAATACAATACATACTTAATGAGCTTGAATAAATGGATGGCGGAAGAGGACGCAGGAGAAATTACAGAAAGACAAAGTTTATTAAGAGCTACAAGGAGCAGGCAGAGCCATGGTCATCTACATTCTGAGGGGACATGGCACATAAAGAAGAAGAACACAGAGAGATTATATAAGTGCCCAAGCAGTAAAGAGGCAGGAGAAAAATATGATACACAAGATTAACAATTACTGCTAGACTGAGAAAATATGAAAGAAATCCCATTTCATAGCATAAATGCTATGAAATGGGATTTCTTTCATATGACTGTTTTTCTGCTGTCCATGACTAGGTATATTTCATCTTGTTCTTCTTACTATTGACCAATTATTGTTTGCCCCATTTTTTTTATATTGAAACTAAGTCTGTACCACCCAGCACAGGGATTGAACTCACAATTACTATGCCACCAAATTCATGAACACAGGAGATGAGAACAAAACTAGTCATAGTCAATAAAAAATTAATAAAAACAAAGAAAAATTGCAATAATACTGACAAAAGGATAAACATGGTATAGGAGAATTCAAAACAAGAAATTAGAAATGGAGGCAAAAATTACTGTATGTACATTTCAAGAGACAAAAGAGATTACAAATGAAACAGCATGGACATGGTTGTACAGTAGTCAGATTTTTTAGTCAAGTTCACTCCATGCAAGACAGTAAAGCCAGATACAAGGGTTTACTGGGTGTAGAAGAATTAGAAAACAGAAACATTACTAAGGAACGAGAACAAAAGTAGAGTAATCAGGAAGACAGTAGATAGCAATTGACATTGCATTTAAATTTTTGAAGATTAAAGTTGATTGGTTGAAAAGCATGGAGTCAGAAGAGAGTTCCTCAAGCAAAGAAATACAAGAAAAGAAACTGTGAGCATAGAACTCACGGTTACATCTTACCAACTCAATTGCAAATTGGTGAGATCTCATTGTCAGTTTAGTACTGTGCTTAAATTCATAAAGTCTAGGTACCATAGCAAAGAGCTCATCTGAGTAGTTTCCATGAAAATATTTATAGAAAAAGGAGAGGGTGCTAACTTTATGACTAAAAGACTTTGATAATAACAAAAATGACATTAATCAGAATTGTTCATCCAGAACAAAATTTTCATTTCTTCATATGTGAGGAAATTGTCCAGCATTCACTACCATAATTCTCAAATACAGATGAATTACAAAAAATAAAGGATTTAATGAAAGTCAATGAGAAAATTTTATTTTGGATGAACTTGATCTGTGATGACCCTAAACTATACTGGGCTCATCTTAGATGATGCCAGAACAGAATTTGCATTCAGTTTCACACCATGTACCTGTCAATGTTATTATCTTTAAGAGCAGGACAAATGTAATGTTATCATCTTTAAGCAGCAGTACTCCATTTTCAGTTTGATCTGGCTTTTGTAAAGGTAGAATATAGCAGGAGGAGTCAGGTACTTACTAGAGTGGTATAGAGAACTGAAAATTTTCTTCAGCATCTTTAGTGATGGATTGTATATATGAATTCCACTTGAGGTCTGGGGTGAGCTTCAGTCCCAATAGTAGTGAAAGGCTAACAACTTTTCATCTATGGGAAAGAGATTGCAGGTTGGCTATCAGTGGTGCTCTTCCATGTTGTGCTTCTATACAGGGGAATGGAGACAACACTTAAAGGGTGCAACCTCAGCTTGATGTGCAGGCTGATCATTGTTGACTTCCATATATACTGAAACTGTTGGAAGAGTGCAGTGACCTTGTTAAGACTAGAGCTGATATCCCTTTCCATGTCACCATTGTTGCCCAAGTGCTTGAAAACTGCAACCTCTTTGAATGTTTACTGCTGTGAAAGGTTGAGGAGGGGAAAATTTGGGCTTGTAAAAATATTCAACTTGTATACAAATATAAAGGAAAGGAAAAGAAAAGAAAAGAAGAAAACAGATAAAGGACAAATCCATTTTTTTATCTTTCAGAAAATGTTGAGATGTTTTACAAAAAATTGTTTCTCTTTCTTTGAGTCCAGTTTCTTCTCCTGAAGACAGCTTTTGCATGACAGGAAATAAACTAGATACAGAAAATTTTCTTACTGACTCCTCTTACTACTTTGAACCAGACCATTACAATTAAAGGTGAATCATTTTATGATTTAATAAATCTAGAGAAATCCAAGAATCAAATAAAAAAAAAAACTGATTTTACCTGGAGGGAGGTGAGTTTCTCTTCTAATTTTGTAACCCTCTTCTCTAGTGAGCTTTGGTTGCTATGCATATCAGACACTAATTCCTGAATTTGGACTTGTGTCTGCAAGAAACAAGAAAATAAAAAAAAATCAGTTTAATTTCGCTAATTTGCTAGATAAAAAATGCATGACTTTTAGAAATGAAAATTTCACTGGTGTACTTAACATAAAATTATCTCTTCCATTTTAACTTTGATAGAAAGAGAGACATTATCTTCTGTCATAACCACCATTATTTATCACCTCTTGAAATGAGATGTCTTTTTATTATTTCACTTGTTAAAAGTAAATGGGTCCAAAGCTGCAAGAAACTAATTTCATGAATTCTTTAAATTGGAATTCATTAAAAAAAAAAAAAAGATAGAAAAAGAAAGTCACACAATTCTTAATACATGTATCGGCTAATTTTCCAAGCACAAAATGTTTTTGAAACTGAAACCAACGATGGATGCAAATGATTAGAAAGTTCTATCAGTTTCAACATATATACAAAAAAAGCCAAAAGAAACAAGTAAAAAAATGGTTCTGGAGACAAACGTATACTGATTTGTGGTTTTAGGATATTTTCTGTGGTTAGCCATTATAATAATCATAATGTTTTATAACTGATGTGAGTTGTTTTTTTTTAACTGGTGTTAATATAAACATATAATTTGACAAACTAATGTGTCAATCTGTAAAAGAATTATACACATTTCTTAATGTATTAATATGGTCATTGTTCTGAAAGAAAAGAACAAAAGATATGAATTCAAGTTTCAGAAACAAATTTAATTTTAATATCTCAAGAATTTGATTCACATCCTTGAATAGCTTTATTAGATCAAAACATTCATATGGATATCATAGATGTTATGACTTTCATATGGATATCCCTCCCACCTCCCTGTTCTGCCATCCATTTACATAAGCTCATTAAGTAAGTTACTTGCTGTTCTTCACTGCTCCTATTGCCTTCAGTATATGCTGTAAGTGTCAAATTCTCCAAGCCCGCTTTTCTCTTGATACATCCCAGAAATTTTAGCTGTCTCTTTCTGATTCTAAATATAAGCGTCCTTTTTGTTTCCATTTTCATTAAAATCTTCCTGCAATTGTACAGTGTGTTTAAACTGCAATTAAACATTGTGCAATTATGCTGAGCAAATTTTAGTTACACTTTCTCTCTCTCTCTCTCTCTCTCTCTCTTTATATATATATATATATATATATATATATATATGTGTGTGTGTGAAAATATATAGAAAATAGGAAAGAACTGGTTAGGTAAATAATCCAAAGTTCTTTTTAAATAAATAATTATATATATATATATATATATATATATATATATATAGAGAGAGAGAGAGAGAGAGAGAAATTTAGTATGATTAACAGTTAAACAAAACCAATATGCTCAAACCCTTGGCCATAATATGACTTCATGTTATCTCAATCATTAGCAGCTTCTGTACAATTTCATCTACTAAGTTTTGCTCACAAGGCTTGGTTCAACCTATGGCTATTGTTTTTTATGACACCTGGTGCTGCATGCTGGATTGTCATATGGATATCATATATATACATACATTTTCATATGGATATCATATATATACATACATTTTCATATGGATATCATATAGATGTCATGATTTTCATATGGATATCATACAGATGTCATGATTTTCATATGGATATCATATAAATGTTATGCATGGTGTCAAACTTATTCAACAATATCTAAACCACTTTCTCAGATTAATGATTAAAAATGGTTTCAAGTGAGTGAAGCCTGCAGGTCTTACAATGGACTGCTCTTCTTTGAACTTTGGTACTGGAACTACATGATCACAAACAAAGAACTGTGCCAAATAGCAGAAACCACATCAACAACTAAAATGGATATCACATGTAACTCAAAGATGAAGTAATGACAGATGTTGATGTTCCACACTACTTCAAACAAATGTTAGGAATGAAACCTTCATCAATACTGGAAAGAGTAATAAGTTATTAGACTTGAAAAACCTATTTTCCTGAAAAAATGTTTTAATAGAAAGATTTAATAAACTTCAACTGAGAGTAGCACTGGCTGTTTGCTTATCAAAAAATTCTAAGATTATAAGAATGGCATAATTTTGTGAATGAAGGAATTTCTACAATTGTTAAAGGCCTTCCTACATCATGGCAGAGACAATTAGAAAATTCCTCAAGCCAGTGGACAAGGGTTTACATGCTATGGTTCAGCTTGGTGTAATGTTGTCAGTAAGGTTCCAAGATTGTATTTTTCTATTGGAATTTTGCTCATCTTGGCAGATAGCTAGGGCAACTGTAAGTATCAACCACTATTCTGAAATAACATTGTTAGAACATGTTTGGTCTGTGCTGAATTTTTAATTGCTTTTCATAACTACATTTCATGGAAAGATTTTGATAATATTTAAAGAATATCAGTTTTTAAATTCTAAGAGGAAGCACATGATTAATACTGGTTTGTATCTCTCATATCAGTTTTTTAAAAAGAAAAACATTCTGAAGCTAAAGATTCATGTGTGTGTGTGTGTGTGTGTGTGTGAACATTTATTGGAAATCTGTTTTAACATTGTGGAATGTGTAATGAGAAAGGAAGGTCTGAAGAATTTAATATGCATAAGGCATGAAAAGCAGAGGGAAGCAGCATGTAACAAACTTGACAGGTTTGTACAAATGTATGGAGGAAAAGTACTACAAAGACAAAACAGGTCTTAAAGTATTACTGAGATCAACAAAAGACAGGAAGCTGTGAAGAACCATGATCACTCACACCCTGAAGGGAGAGCACATAGAAAAAAAGATTCTTTTCTCCAGAACAATATCGAAACCAAACATTGAAAATCAGCTGCATCAGCTTTATTATGTTAGTCACATTGATATGTAGCTTCCATATCCAGAAAATCTGTTATCATTAGTGAGTGTTTACAAACAAAATTGTAAAATGAATAGTGGCTTTTTCTTCTTCTTTATCTATGCACCTTCATGTCCCTTCAGGATACTGGTGATCATGGCTCTCCACAATTTCCTGTTCTTTGTAGCTCTGTAAATTTTGTTATTCGTCATCTCTCCTGAACCCTGTTCTATTATACATTTAAACAATCTTGTTAGGTAGGTTATGCATTGTTTTTCTCTATTCATCTTGCCTTCAATTTGTCCTGTGAGTATCAAATTTTCCAAGCCCTCTTTCCTCGTTATGTGCCTTAGAAATTTCAAGTCTCTCTTTCTGATGTTAATTATAAGCGTCCTTTTTGGATCTTTTTTTCATGTTCAATCCATGGTATCCTCAGCATTCTTCTGTAGAACCACATTTCTGTTTTTGCAAGTCCCTTCTTAGTCTGTGAGGAGATTGCCCAGCATTCACTGCTATATAGGAGGGTTGATATTATGTAACAGTTCAGTACTTTTCTAATGAAATTTTCCTATTTCTTAATACTTTGCTTACCTTAGGGAAGATATCTTTCACTATCCCAGTTTGCCTTCGGATTTCAGTATCACACTTTCTATCCTCTGTTAAAAGACTTCTCAGGTATTTAGATTGTACTTGTTTGATTTTGGTATCTCCTATTTGTAATTTTCATATTGGGCTGACCCTTTCGTTGACAACCATAGAATGTTCAATAAAATCTAGTCATCAACTAAAATTATGAATCAGATAATATATATGCAAGTATGTAATAACTGCTTACTCAGTATGCCAGTTTATTAGCACAGCTAGCTAATTACTGTGTGTTTAAACTGCAATTATGCTGAGCAAGTTTTAGTTACACTTTCTCTCTCTCTCTCTCTCTCTCTATATATATATATATATATATATATATATATAGAGAGAGAGAGAGAGAGATAGAAATTTAGTATGATCAACAGCTAAACAAAACCTTGGCCATAATGTGAGTTCATGTTATCTCAGTCATTAGCAGCTTCTGTACAATTTCATCTACCAAGTTTTGCTCACAAGGCTTGGTTCAACCTATGGCTAACATTTTTTCTGGCACTTGGTGCTGCATGTTGGATTGTCTCCCCTGGCTGATTTTATCCAGAATTCCTTTCGTTGGTGAATTGAGCTGGATCTCATGGTTAGAATGCCAACATTCTAACATTCTGACTACTCAGCCATGCATCCATATATACAAGTACATACATTCATGAATCTACTTGTACAGTCTTTGGGTCTTATGGCCATATCATGTTGAAACACTGGTTCTCATTTGATCACTGAAGTTAAGCAAAATCAAGTCTGGTCAGTACTAAATGAATAACTTTTTGGGAAATACCAAGTGTAGTAAGTTTGGATGTGCAGGTGGTGTAATGATGATGGTTTGGAAATTGAAACTGGAGAACTAATTTCCAATTTCATTGATGTTTGTTATATTCACTTAAGTGCAAATACTCTTGGGAAAGGTACAAATCCATCTCTTTTCTCCTCCAGCTATGGGTTAATTAATAGAACTTCTGTCAGTAAATCATTATTATCTTCAAAAATAATTCTTACAATTCAAAAATGTTTGCAGGCTTTAAATAAGGTTGATAAATCATAAAAAACAAATCAATGTAGAGTATTTGATACATTGGTATTAGTTTAGCTTTCCTTCCATTTGTGCTGTTAGGTGTCATGGGGAGACAAGTGGCCTGGAAGAGAGATATCTCGTGGGCTCTAAGAGTGTCTGCCAGCATATTCTTGATCTGCCTCTCGCTCTCCAGCCAGAGTACCTGAGGGTGTATGCTTGTAGGGCTCGTTGGTTGATAGGCATACGAGTGAGGTGTCTGAACCACTTGATCCTCTGTCGTTCAGTGTGCTGTATGATTGCTATTGCTCCTACCATATCTCTTATTGCCTCATTTCTGATCTTGTCTTGTTTGGTCTTGTTCACTGCTTTCCTCAGACATTTCATCTCACAAGTGATCAGTTTCCTCTCAAGTGTTTTTTTGGGGCCATGTCTGCCACTGGTATGCCAACATTGGTAGGAAAATGGCATTGATGAGATTTGCCTTGGTGCTCATGGAAATGCTAGGACGATTTAGCAGAGGAGCAAGTTGGTATCTGACTGTGTTGGCT